TAAGCTAAAATGGTACAAAGGAAAGAAACACTTACAATTAATTTTTATGGAAAAAATTTTGAGAGTTCCCCAATCCAAACAGTAGCTTACCAAATCATACCAAGTAACAAATAAAACCTTAAATAACATTAATATATAATAAAAGCAGGGATGACAGATACATACACAGCCTGTACAAAGTAGTTCCTGGGAAGGAGCTTGGCAGGGCTACTCTTGCTACTTGGGTACACAGTGACTCTAGATTGATCACTGCAAAACTGATACTGACCACTATGTTCATTTTTGCCTTTTCTCATAAAAGTGCAAATCCTCTTGGATTTCTTTCAATTAGCAAAAATACATACTAATGGACGTGTTCCATAAAAGCAAAGTGGTATAAATGTGAACTTGTAGTTCAGGTATAATCTCAGTAAGGAGTGTGGTGAATTAAATATCCATGAGCCTCTTTATATTTGGAGCAGACAAGGATTATGATCTCAGGGAATATAGCAAGTAGAATCAACAGGTACCTTGTGTAGATGGTATTCCTCCCATCTGTTAGCACAAATATGGATTATGTAATTGTTCAACAACAATGGAAATAATACAGATCTGAATTAGGAAAGCTTAAATTAAAAGCCCATGTTCCTCACAGCCATAAACAAAGCAGAGGGTTGAAATGTCCCGACAGTCAGGAGGGATTTTGAAGTCTTTGTACTTCACTGCTTTGGAAGGGCAGAAGAGTACACATTTTTGGGACAAAGGTGATTAATAGCCAGTTGGAATTATATGACATAGAAACCTTTCTTTTCCTTTTAAATTTCAGTAAAAAACCTTGAACTTTAAAAAAAATGAAATCAAGGTGGTTTTTTTTTTTTTTCAAAGTTTGAACTTTGATAGAATAAATCTTCTTCATAGTTGACATATATTCTTAATGGACAAAAGGTTTGAGGAGACTAAGCGGAAAGCGGGTGGGGCACAATTCTGTTATTCCAAACATTTAAACACAGTTTAAGAGAAATCAGTAACCATATTTAGGTTGCTGTTGAAAAATGAACCAATTAAAATTCACTTTACTCATGAGGCTACATCTTGAGGGTTTTGTTGTTGTGGAGACTGAAAGTGCAATGTATTGGGAATTATAATATTCACATTTTTTGAAACCATGTCACAGTTGGGATTTCTGATGACTCTGGACATTAATAAGAAGACCAATCACTTATACAGCAAGGGTGTTGCTGAAAGCACTTACTAGGGTAGGGTATGGGGTGGAAGAATATGTTCATTTAAAGATCTGATCGAAGTCAGTTGCAATGCTAGCCTACAAATCTTGGTGTGTTTCTTGTACTTTTCTCTTTCCCAAGCCTTGACTAAGAGAAATAGACCCTGACTGAGTGGGCAGAGAACAATGACAAATGGCCCATGTAATGTCTTCTTTGCCTTTGGAGGACAGGTTTTAGCATGATGTAAAGAGTTTCTACAGTTGCCTAAAAGCGTCAGTCTGACAGTGGGAAGAGAAGAGGGGCTAGAGAAGGAACTAGCTGCAGCCTGAAATTTTAAATGACTCCAGGGAGCTTTTTAATTTCCCCATTTTAGGAAGATAGTGCTATAAAGGATGGGAAAAACAAAACCACAAGTAATTGTGAGGTTAGTAGATTTCTGATTAACTGTTTCTGTTAGTTCCTTTTATCAAGGTAAAAAGTAAAAATAAAGGCTAAACTTATTGAGTAAGGGACCTGGAATATTTTTACAGTTAGTGTAGAGGATTCAGGGAGCTGAGTTAAATTCATTCTGGCTCAGACTGCAGCTTGTCATTATTATCATTGCCATCACCACCACCAATAATATATTTTGGTTGTGAGTTTTGGTTGTTTTTTACTTAGGCAATCTGGAGGAAAAACAATAAATGAGGAGTTTGGTTCCTTTTGTTAAATCTACATGATATTTAACTGTATTTGCAAATGCTCTGTAAGTCTTATTTTAGTTTAAAGCCAAGATAAAAATAGCAGTAGACGGGGCTTCAGGAAGCTGTAAATTCGAGTGTAGGTTGTGCCTGTCACAAGCTCACTGTGTGATCCTGGGCAAGTCTTCTCATCTTGGTTTCAGATTTTCTATGTGATAAATACATATAACATAAAACCATTTTAGCCATTTTGACGTGTATAGTTTAGGGGCCTCGCTGGTGACCTACGGGTTAAGTCTCAGTGCATCACTACCTGAGTTTGATCCCCAGCTAGGGAGCTGACCCTCATGGCACAGCAGACCTCTCCTGTCTCACCTGCTGCTCTCCTTAGCAGTGTATTTCAGTGGGTCCCCGCTCTGTCTCTGGTGAATCCTCTCACCACCTCTGGCCTGCACTCCAGTTTTTTTTTAGCACAAAAATAAATAAGATCTTAAAAAAAAAAATTGTAGGAATGATTTATATATATACTGGGTACGAATCCCCTATCAGGGATTCTCTTCTTGTAGATAAATAATTAGGTGCAATGGGCACATTTGTGGTTATCTTACTGGATTAAAGACCTCTTAATATTTTGGATTAGTTGTAGTCTAGTATTGGATTTGTTCTTAGAAGTATCACAAAACTCTTCCACTGCAAATCACTCAAGTTTACTCAAGATAGTACTTTGACAACCCCAAATAAATTCAGTCATCCATTCAACAAGTGTCTATTGGCATTGCAATAGTTGCTGGGAATACAAAAGTGGAGAAAAAGCTAACAATTCTGATTCACATGGACTTTGTGTCCTACAGATGTATAGCAAAGATTTTTGTTACATGTGAGTTCTCTAGGGCACTGAAAAGATGTCAAATGTTAGCCTTTCAATTTCTTTTGCTCTTTTTCCTCTTCCTGTCCTTAAAATTTTTTTCTTTTCTTTTTTTTTTAAGATTTATTTATATAAGCACTGGGTACAGTCAGAAGCGTGGGAGGGTGAGAGAATTCACAAGAGCCAGATCAGGGAACAGAACAGGCAGGTGGACCGAAATACACTGCTGAGGGGAGCAGCGGGCATGGCAGGAGAGGTCTGCACGCCATGTGGGACCCTCGCAGGCAGCTGGGGATCGAACCAGCGCTGCAGAGGCTGCGGGCAGCTTCTCAGCCCAGCGCTCAACCGCTGCGCCACCAGGGGAGGCCCCTTAAAATTTCTTTTTCTATTATTTTGTTTTAAGAAAAAGGGACAATCACGATGTGCTTATGCTTAGGAACCAAAACAACTGGGGCCTCTATTTAAGTGAAATCATTCACCACGTGCGTGACCTTGTTAAGGTTAAGTCACTTCCTATCTCTGAACCTCAGTTTCTCTTAGATTTACAGGGATAATAAAGAAAATACTGACTTGGAGGAGTCTGTCAGGATTAAACTCCTGTCTGGGGGAGGTTTATCCAATTGCAGGGGAGAGATGATAACTACTACTACTATTATCATTGCTATTACTGATTGATTTGTTATTGACATTCTGGGCTAGATCCCTATAGAGCAACCAATTGCAGTCCAAGCTTTGGGATCATGGAGAAGGACCAGGTTGTTGTAGAAAGTTTGACCTGGGGTTAATCCAGACTCTGATATTTCTTATCCTCGTGACTTTGAACAAATCACTTCATAATGTGCAGCTGCAGTTTGCTCATTTGAAAATTGGAGACAGTAACATCCAACTCAGAGTATTCCTCTAAGAATCAAAGAAAAAAGTGCGTGTGACAGTATCTAGCACAGTGCAGTAATTAGTACCATAGGTAATGATTATGAGCAGGGACTCCTAATCCTCTTAAACCCAGCAGTTAGACTTGCTGGGTTTAAATCTACTCTTACTACCTGGTGAACTTGAGCAAGTTACTTAACCTATGTGCCTCAGTTTCCTCATCTGTTAAAAAGTCAATTATAGTAGTTCCTGCCCGCTAGTGTTGTTTGAGATTTATGTGAGTTAAGATCCGTAAAGTGTGCAGTGTCTGGCAGATACAAGCACTACATGATGGCAATTATTATTAGCATAACTACTATCATCATCTTGGCTGTCCTCAATTAGACAGTCTATAGACTGCCTTATAAAACCATTTATAATCTCTCCCCTATCCCCACATCAAGTGAATGAGGTCTTTAAAAAAAGAGAGAGAAAAGAACCCCCACCCACAGCCTGAAATTCCCCTATTGGGAGTGCTTTCCCCATCTCCTGCTTGCAGGGACACCACCTGGAGGGGACCACCAGCCCCCACCGTGGCTCTAGCAACAGGCCTGCCAGAGATCTGAGCAGATGTTTCTGCTTTTCAGACCCAGGCATTTCCTCTCTTCTCGGAGCACATGCCAGCACAGTCAATATCTGGAAACCCGCTGCTTCGCAGTAGGGCTGAGGACTAAACTGGTACTTTACTAGAAAATGGTAATAAAGCAATTGGAATTGCTTTTCATCCTCCTTGCTCTTAACGGCTTTTAGGTTCATATGAGACCAATCAATTAATCCTGCTTCAGAGCTACAGGAATGGGGTGTTTTCTAGCCTCTGAATAGGAGATGGGCCCATAACAGAGATTTTTCCAGTGCTTTCCCAAGAGAACCACTCTGAGCCTGCTGCCTGTGGGGAATGGTGAGCGGAGGTGCATGCTTGGGTAGTGCCATATTCTTGCAACCTGGCTGGTGTTAATGAGTTGCTTCTGCCCCAAACTGAGCCATAAATATGACACCACTTGGCACATTTACCTCCTTGCAAGCTCACTTCCTTCCATCTCAGACTTCTGTCCCGGTGAGCGAATAAGGTAGAGATGATGGAAATGGATGTGCAAATACAAAAAGGAACTACCTTTTCTTTTCTGACCCAGCGCAAGGTAGTTGGTTTGAAACATTTCGCTCACCTTGAGGACGTTCTCACCTGTGCTGGCATCCCTGGGGCTCTGCCTGGCATGCAGTAGCTTTCAGAGAATAATGGATGAAGTGAATGAAAATAGAAGCAAGACAAAAACTTGGAAAGGGTGGAGGTGAGGGCACCCTCTTCTCTGTTCTCTTCATGACCAAGAATTAATGTCATTCTTTTAGGAATTAACTTCTGAAGAAAAGATATCTTAGAAGCAAAAGACAAATGATTAATCCATAAATGGAAGGGAACAGATTGAAAGTGATCGATGCAAGCAGACTCTCCTGTGGACAAATTGGTAACGGGACAAATTGATGTTTTTCTCTAGTCGTGGAATCATTGTGGGTTATTTCTCCATCTCAGCACAGATTTTTGCCAGAAGTTGTCTCAAGACCTCAAGCACAACTTGTTTAGACATTTTCCAGTTGTAATTTTTTTTCTGGGCTGTTAAAAATATTGACTTTGACAGATTTAAAATGATGGCCTCAAAATTGGAATAATTTACATTCTGGAATTAAGATAATGCAGGCATTTCTGCTGGCAACGACAGAGTGTAGGAGCCAGTTATATAAATCCCAGATTTGAGGGAGATGGAGCCATTAGCATAGATGGGTCGGCTGTGGGTATTCGGAGCAGCCACCTTCCCATGTAAATGGATCTTTATGTCTCTCCCAGGCAGACCCAGATTCTGAGCTATTTTGGGCACTCCTTTCAGATCAGGTGATGTGGAAGAGGGTGGCTGAAGGCCGCGGACTCAGGCCACATGCCTATTGCTGGCCTCTTGGTGTTCTGCAAGAGAAATGGGAGGCCTGAGGAAAAATCCTAGCCACTGTCTGGCCATGGCCTGTTTACCCGAGACCTTCTCTCCTTTAACTCCTGGGTCTCACTCCCAGCCAGGCAACATAGAAGGCATTCAGACCAGCTCAGTGGTCCTGGCCCTGGCCCAGTGCGCTCTGCCAGATTCCAAACACACCTGCTAAACAGATTCCTTTCTCTCTGCACTCTGCTGACATTTTCAGCTGGAACCAAAGTCACCCTTTTGCTCCAGTGCATTCCTGTGACTGCTTACTGGATCTTTTGTCCACCCCATTCGTCTTGAGCTGCTCCTTGATTCTGGTTGGAAACTCCTAAATCAAAAGAAACCCCAGTCCAAACCCTGAGGCTATGACTGGGAAGTGACAGAGTGAGACCAATTTCTGTAGGGAAATATGAAAGCAAGAGCTTCCCTCTGGGATCTCCCCTCCTCTCTCCATCAAGCCCCCTCTCCTCATCCTCCACTTCCTTTGCCTCCCCCTTGGTACCAAGCTCATCCACATTTATTGTATTAAGTCCTACCCAAATTTTTCAGACAGGGTGCCACATTTGACATGTGAACAAAATATATGAAAAGTTAAAGAATTTGCCCAAAGAGACCTGACTGGTGACTGGGTCAGTTGGACGCTAATGCTCTGGTTAGGTTATTTCACCTGACACTTCTAACAAAGGTAGAGACAACAGAGCCAATCACTTCCATGAGATTCCACAGGTAGAACAGACACTAGAGATGACAAAGCCTCTCAAATATGTGGTGTATGGGTGGGCTTGAGATCAAATTGGTTGTAGCATTACTCACCTTTAGGACTTCAAGATAGAAAGGATATGACAAACCCTCTAGTCTAGCTCATTAATACCCAGTGTCTGAAACTCTTTAAGTATATGACAAGTGGTTCTCAATAGGCTCTGCTTTGGACCCTTAGGGGAATTGGGCAATGTCTGGAGACCTTATTTTTTTTAAATAAAGATTTATTTTTATTTATTTATGCATACCAGAACTTGGGTGTAGGCCAGAGGTGTGTATGTGGGGGGATGGGAGTGAGAGACTTCACCAGAGACAGAGTGGGAAGCAGAACAGCCGGATCTATTGAAATACACTACTGAGGGGATGTGCTGTGCCATGTGGGTCAGCAACCGGCAGGGGATTGAACTCATGTCACAGCAGCTGGTGATAGCTTGATAGCACTGAGACTTTAACCCCTGCGCCACCAGAGAGACCCTGGAGACCTTTTTTAATGGTCACACCTTGGGTAGTAGAGGTCAGGAATCCTGCTAAATGTCCTCAGGAAAACCACCCCTCCTCAAGACGAGAGAGTTATCAAAGTGTCAGCATGGCCAAGACAGAGAAACATTGCTATATGGAAAGGCAAGATGCTAGAAACGTAGGTGTTGGGGATAATCTGGACCAAGGCTCTCATTGTTGAGGACAGGCAAAAAAGGGTCAAATTACTTAACTGTGATCATACAGCAAAATTTGGGATCACATATCCCACTCCTTTTGATACTGGCATATGAAATGTCTATGTAATAATAAAGTAAAAATTGTTCTTAAATGCAATGCATTTGTAGAAAAATGTACCAAAATATTGACAACTATTTCCATTAGAGGGAATCACATTTATTCTGCATATGTAGTTACAACAAATATGAGAGGAAGATAACTGCCCAGATGTAATTGCTACTTAAAAATAAAAACTGTTGAAGAAACCCAGACAGAGAGAGGAAAATAAATTAGCTCAAAATCTCACAGCTAGTATGTGCCAGAGCTTGCAACTGAACTTATTTTGTCTAACATTTAAATCAAAGGTCATTGGGGGGATCAGCCTGCACCTTGATTATTCCCATAACCGAAGCAGCATAAAAAAAAAAAAGTTTATGTGCTCATGTGTGAGAACTGCAGGATGTTCAAACACTTTTAACTGTATTATCATCATCTGCATTTGATATATCTTTTGAGTCCATCCCTCTGACGGCTGCTGCATTTACTCCTGCAGGCACTTCTGTTGGGCATATAAATCGTTCTAAAATTTCTAGAAGATAATTAAGCCCTATGTATGAAGAGTGATCCTTTGATACAGTGATTTTACTCATTGGAATCTATCCTAAGAAAACAATCAGAGTTGTAGATAGATTTATGCACAAAGACATTACGATAATAATAATGGCTGGGATTTATCGAGCTCACACCATATGCTAGACTCTGTTAAGTGCTTTACATGCATCATCTTATTTGCTCCTCATAACAATGCTGTGAGGTGAGTATTACTCTCATTCCCATTTATACACAGCAAACTGGGCTTTAAAGATCCTCAGTAATTTGGTCAAGTTTACTTGGCTACTACATAAAAAAGGGGATTCAACGAGGGGTAGTCTGATCCACAGGATTTCTTCATTTTAATCACTATGGGATACTGACTGCTAGTAGTAAATCACAATTTAATTGGGCAAAATTGGAAGAAAGCTGGATGTCTAACGTTAGTGCCCTTGGTTAGGTGAATTATGATGTCTCTCCCTCTTTTGGTATCTTGTTCTGAAGTCACCTTGACTGTGCCTTCTGTGGGTTTCACAGACACCAGCTATAGACATGCTTAGAGAGTTTGCAGATAGTTGGCACTTGGGTGCCATGTTATTTTTTTTTTTAATAATAAATTTTATTTTTATATTCCCCATACAATTGCAGCCCCCCCATTCTGACACCAATCTCTCCTCTCCCACCCCCGCCCCCTTAAAAGTGTCTCTGGTTCGTAGTTTTTTGTTGATTTTGATTTTCACTTTCTTATAGTTATTCGTTTTCCTGGTCCCTTATTTAAGTTTTCTAGATTCCTGCTATGAGTGAGACCATCCGGGTGCCATGTTATTTAGAACTTAACTCAGGTCACAGGAAGGAGGATGCTGCAGACTGGAAACCTGCCAGATCTCAGTTTGAATCCTGGTTAGGTATGTCTTAGAAGTTCAGCCTCTGATGAGCGCCTTTCCTTCACCAAACCTCATATTAAGATAGCATTGTCACATCCAGCCACTTCCTGGGGCGGCTGTATGAAGCAGAGTGCTGGGCAGCATACAGCAGGGGCTCACTAAGTGCTAGGTGACTGGAATTTGGCAGAGGTGGCACCCTCAACCCCTTAGGGCACAAGGGAGTGCCCTAAGCACTTAGGCTCTCATCATAAGTGGATTCCGGAGAGAGGTCAGGGAGAAGAAAGTGGGGAAAGCCTTCTGCGATCCCTGCATTCTTGTGGCAATGTCGTTCTGTGAGCAGCTTTGGAACAACGTCAGCAGGATAACTGGCTGTGGGAACGGACAGCAGGAAAAACAGACTCAAAGCTAGAGACCACAATGCCCAGGTGAGAGACCTCTTTCTTTTGAGGAATCTCAGGTGGAACTGCTGGACCCGGGCCCGCTGAACATTTCAGGGAGAGGATGTTTGGAGCTGCCCCTGACATTTGCCCCACCCTTAGATTAGACCTGCTGGTCTCCAAATTCTGAGAATAGACTCTGTGGCACTATTGCCATGACCGGACTCACATTTGCTGGTCAACCCCAGAATAACCTCTGCCTCAGAGGTGACTCAGCTTGGGAAAGGCCAGGGCTAGGGCCCCTTCTCACAAGGGCTTGACTCACAGCTTGTGAGGGCTGCAGGAGGCCTTGAAGATCAGTCATTCTGGTCAGTTCCTCCATTAGGGATACATGAGATACTCAGAGAGGAAAAGGCACTTGTCTATCTAATGTCCAGCCAACTACCAAGAGACGGTGCCAGAGAGTCATCCCAACCTCCGCTGACTCAGTCTAGAAGAGCTGTTTCCGCTAGCACCATAATGTTATTTATTTGTAATCTTGGAGGGTCTATTTATTGGTTTATGAGTTTTTACTTAAGCATTTAAGGGGCTAATGGGCTTTTGTAAACTCAAAATATTTATACTGAACACAAATAAGTACATATTCCCCTTGCCAGCAAATGCTGACTGTTCTCATCCAAAAAGATCTCTTGAATCCATTTCTATCTCTCTATATCAGACTTCTCTTCTGGATCTTGGTGAGTATCTAAATGTTTGTTGTGCCTTCAGTAAACTGCTTCTGTCCTGGAACCCTATGTGAACTCTATAATCCGAATCATTTTCAAGGAAATCTTTCCATCGTTCCACTGATTGCTGGACAGACTCAGATGTCTTTGGAGGACACATTCAAGGGCTTTTATAATCTGAACCTGACCTCAATTGCCAAGCTCCTGTCTAAGAGTTCTTCTTGCTCACGTACAATAACTCCCGTCACACTGGCCCATTCACAGTAGCTGCTACCTGTTCTCTATTCCTTTCTACCATGTTGCTCCCTCTGGAAAGCCCATCTCTCATACTCCAGTCCAGAGATGTGTTGTACAGCCTTCAAGTGCCTTCTTTATGAAGGCCTCCATCATACCTCTCCAGGCAAATCCCATGTCCTCTCTGTTTTCCAGTGCTCTGCACACACTTGTACTACCCCTTCCATATTGTACTCAGATGGATTACATTATTTGCCTGACTTTCTGAGGCTGTGAGTGAGCATTTTCATAGCAGGGACCATGTCTATCTCATCAACTCCCAAGTTCTAACATAGAGGGGAACACAGAATAAGTGTTCAATAGTGTTTTCTGATTTAATGAATAAATTATTGAATTAATATAAATAAAAATATTTACGGCGTGTCTGATGTCCTGTTAAGCAAAATATCCTGGCAGTATATTTGGAATGATCAGAATTAGATTATAGCTGTGACAAGACAGAGAAATTTGCTTGGATGGAGAAAACACCAGTGATTTTAAATAAAACCTAAATAAAAATCATAAGGGGAGATGCATTGCAATGCAGGTGTGGAACAGAAAGGAAGCTGCTCTCAGGTGGGCCGCTCTGCCTTGCCCACTCAGATGAGCAGTAGCATGTGTTTATTTAGATAACGAAGATGTGATGATTTTCAATTCAGTACCAAGGAGGCCAACTAGAATGCAATAAAATGTTGGAGTGAGTCTGATGAATGCCAAGTGTTGGTTGTAACATAATGTGCACTAGGCAGGCCGTGTGGGAGAGCTTGTCCTTTATCAAGCACGGCTTCTTGAAAAAGATTTGTCTTGAGATAGAATCCCTTCCACCACCACCACCAAACATGGACTAAATATTTAATTCCCAAAGGCTTTGGATGTAATCTTCTGATTTATGGGTGGTGGATCTGACCTCCTGTGTTTTGAACTTTCATGATTTGGGCAGTAACTTTTAGGGGGACTAGACGTTCTTGAGGCAGGGTCTATATAGAGAAGAAATGAAAGCTACAAAACTTCAATCAGCATTTTTTTTTTTAGAGCTTAACTGTGACCGCAGGTGATTTAATTGATAATGAAGTCTTTCAGGTTCTTATCCTTGTAGTTCACTAATATTTTATATTTGCCCATAGAGATGTGTAAATGGGTTTAGAAGACATAAATGAGAAATGACTGCAGTGCATTTTTTAAAATTATGACACTGTGTTGTTAAAGGTTGACCCCTTTACTACAGAGGCTTGGCTGAGTCATTTTCATCCGTCTGTTTTATCCTGTTTTTCATTGGCATGCATAGGTGAAAGCAGGTTGTGTTGAACAATGTTCCCTTAAAATAAGAGAGCACAGGATGCTTTTGCATTTGCCTTCTTTGTTTCTTCCTAATAGGAAGAGAGAGGGCTGGGATGAAGGCCTTAATAGACCCATTTTACAGATGAGAAGCATGGCCTGCAGCGAGGTTAAGTAGTTTTCTGCCAGAAGCAAATGACACAGTTAATCCCATTGTAAAGCTCCTGTGCAGCTCATAGTGCCTGGATTTCCATTCTGTCTACCAGCTTTGCTAAGAGAGCTGATTTGGACAACTATGTTCTGAGCTTCAGTTTCATCATCTGTGAAATGGACATTATAGTACCTCCCACCCTAGATGCTTTGAATTCCATTCAGGAAACACCAGGGGAGGAAGCATTTGACTCTCTGTGATTGGCTGGAATATAGGGTGGGTGGCTTAGGTGGTGAGACTAGGACCTTAAAGACACATATGTCAGATCATACAATATCTCACAAAGTTCAAATTTTATCCCAAGGGCAACAGAAAGCACTGAAGGTTTTAAGATTATTTGAGAGAACAGGTAGATCTGGTTTCTAGGAGTCTCTGGCATGGGCTCTTACAAGAGCATCCTAACTAGTTCTCCAAACTACATTCTCGCCCTCTCCTGTCCAGTCTCACAAAGAAAGTTCTAGACCATACACCACATCTTAATCTCCTGCTTTCCAGCCTTCACCAGCTGTGCAGTTCTCATAAGATGAAATCACAAATGGTTTATCCCGGCACTCAAGGCTCTTCAACCCATTGCTCTGCCAGGCCACCTGGCTTCCTCCTGCTCCTCCCTGTCCCAACTTCAACAACTCCTTGCAGTGACTCATCCTGTGACCCCCCATGCTGTCACTGCTATTCCTTGGCTTTGTACACACTGCTTGTGGGGGTGGAATACTTTCTCCTGGAATCCTCCAAGGGACACAATTCAAATCATCATTAGGACCCAGCTCAGCCACCACCTCCCTGTAATTCAGTGTCTCTCTCCTCCATCAGACCATGAACTCCTCAAGAATAGTGGCATCTTTTCCATCTCAGAGACTGGAACATGCAGGGTGGTGCCCAGCACCGGCGGGCATAGCAAAAGTACAATGAAACAATGGACACCAGAGCCAGAGTGGCTGGCCCCAGCTCTGCCACTCACTCACCCTGCTGGCTCATGTGACCTCTCTGTGCCTCAAGTTTCTTCACTTGGAAGTTGCACCTGCTTTCTGGGATGAATTATGTGTCTATATATTTCTGTGCAATCGTGGGGTCATGTAGTAGTGTACATACTGCGTGTAAGCGGGGTGGCTGACACACAGTATGTGTGTGTGCGTGCTTAGGCAGGTCTCGGTGGAGCACGCAGAGTGCATGGTGATACCACAGGGGCCTGCCACCTACTGAGTCCTCCATCCAAATTAGAAGGTGTTAGTGTCTGGATGGCAGCCTAGGAATTGGAAGCTGTAAAACATTCAGTGATTTTTCTCTTTCTTTAGGCTTATGGTTCATTGATGGGGATACAACAGGACTTGGGATAGAGCAATCTACAAAGTCAGAAATTAAATTTACCATAAATTTCTACTTTTAGCAGGGCAACCATCTACATTTCCCCAGACTGCAAAAATGGAGCCCGTCTAGACAGGTGAGTGAAAACTGAAACAGAAGCTTGGAATACGAGAGCAGCCCACTTCCCCTGGGAGGCTGTAGCGGGATGCACTGGAGCTCATCTCTCTGAAGACATGTGAGGAGTGTCCAGACAGAGACAGACCATGCCGGGTCTAAGAGTGAAGTGGCTGACGTCCGTTTTCAGCCAACCTTTTCTACTTGCACATCGCAAAGTTCCAGCTTCAGATGATGTTTACCCTGGTCTGTCTCCTCTTCTATCAAAGCACACTCTCTGCATTCTCAGCCTCCCAAGATCCTGCTTTATCTCTGCAATGGCGTGATAGTTTGTGACAAATGAATTTTCAGATGAATATTCCAGTTAGCCTTTTAGAGTCCCTCCAGGTAAAACAATCCCTTAACTGGCATCACAAATGAGTCGAGACCTTGAAACATCTACATACTTTGCCTCTCCACTGAAGGTCATGGCTGGGGATTTTCCGTGTTCAGTTCTCTGCTGATGTTTCTGTTGACACAGGATTTAGTCCATTTGCAGCCAGACAGTCCATTTGCAGCCACCCCTTTCCAGTGATGTGAGAAGGCATTCTCATCCCTAAGACTAGACTCATCTTTCTGGAGGCCCAATAGCTGATGGATAACTTGTAGGTGGAGTCATACATGGTAGGGAAAGTATAGTGGGGTGGTTAGTAACAGTGGGGACTGGCGATAAATACAAAAGGGGGAACCTCACAGAATTTCTAAGAAAGATGCTAGCATTCCATTTGGCTGACTTCCATCTCAGAAAGAGCTCTGGATGGGAAACAGAGGGAGAGAATGTATTATATTATGAAACTAATGGTCCGATCTTTAATAAATTGAATGATTGCATTATAAATAATATATAACATATAAAGCCAAAAATGCTTGTTCTGTAGACCTGTTTATTCAGCTACTAAGATATATATACTAGGCTACTTTCTCTTTTTCCCATTAAAAAATCTATTTCATTGAAAAAAATACAACATCCTTTTGACATAAATTCTGATGCAATTTTTCAGAAATATAAAATGATGAAAATAGAGAGCTTTTCTACAGGGTCTTTGCAAACCAGCAAATTAGTATTTATCTGAAAGAACAAAAGAAGATAAAAAGTAAGACTGTGTATTTGGGGAGAAGCAGAATCAGGAGGTGTGGATTTAGTTCTATATCTCTCCTTAACTAGCTGTGTTATCTTGAGTGAATTACTCCTATTTCTCAGACCTAGATTTATTCCATTCAAAACTGTGCTATTTTGACTAGAAGATCATGAAATTCCTTTCCTGATCTCTGATTAAAACAGATAGTAGCTCCTGAGGACTGGAAAGTTCTCCAGAATTCATCTTTTACAACCACTTACCCCAAATGGGCACCAAATGCCCACTGTGCTGCCTACAACTTCTGCTGGTGCTTTTCCAAAAAAGAACTCCAAGGAAAGAGATTCTACATCTGGCCTTCAGAACTCTGTCCACTGTTCAGCATATGCCTCCCATCCCCTGGAGTTCTTCCTTTCACATCCCATGTTGTAGAAAGCTTTAAAGAAAACACACACACACAACACACACAGTCTTGACGGCAGAGGACTATTCAAATGCAACAGGTGCAATGAGTTATAGATCTTACAAAGAACACAAAGAAGCACCCAGTCAGCAGGAACAGCAGTTGCCAAGAATTTAATTCATGAGTACAAAACCAAATTTACAAAGAACTAATCCTACATAATGCTACATAATGGATAAAGGAAAAAAAAAAAGGATTAATGGGGAAAAGGGAGTTTCTGAAAATTCACATCTCAAGTCCACAAAACTCCTGATTTGGCCTGCTTCATTTTCCTTCTTCCCCCAGGAGACCTTAATTTATTTTTCTTAGAAAAGTAACATTGATGGTGATGAATGGTTGCAACCTAAGATCATGTAGGTGATCAACTGCTTTGCATGTGGCGCGTGTGGAATAACGTTTGCACTGGGAATGTGGGAAGATCGAAGTTGAAAATAATGAATCCATTCCTCTTGACCTGTGTTGCCCTCGGAGAGTCAGGGCCAAAATCTGTTTCTTCTCCCATGAAAAGAAATTTTATTTCTCTCAGTCATGGGAAAATGTTCTTCTGGTGACAACACAACATGAAAGCTCCATCAGCCACCCAAAAAGACACTCTCTTCAAGACTCACTCTCAGCTTTTCCCTGGGTACCAACTCCTGCCCAGTCTGGAAGTCATCTCTGTCCTATTGGTCTTAGAGCTTATAGGTTTCCCTTTTTTCCCAGCAGCTGTATCATGGGGATGATCTTTTTTAAAAGGAGTGAAGGAGAAGGACTTCTCTGCAAACGCCCCTCTCTTGGTCTTTGGGATTTGGGTCTTTCTCTGCTTTCCCCAATATCTTTTTTAGTTTATTTTGCTGGAACTTTGTACTCTCCACCTGTCCCAAAATGCTTCTTCCCCAGATATGGGCCCCTCCTCCCTTCTCACTTGTGTATCCTTCTGTTTGATGGCCCGATTTGCATGCATGGCTTCAAACAGCGGACCTCTGCGGATAACCCCCATGTCCCCATCACTCACTTTCATTTTTCTCTCAACCTTCCAACTCCCTATGTGAAATTGGGTGATTAAATGCAGCCACATCAAGGCGAACTGAATTCAGTTCGACAACCGCATGTGCCATACTTCCCCTTAAATAAAAACTACTCTTCTGCCCAGTTGCCCAGGGGAAGGGACTCAGGTCTACATTCGCCTCTACTGGAAATCCATTATGTTTTTTTTTTTTCCTGCTTTCTGATTTTTCCTGAGCCTCTCACTAGATTTTCCATCTCTTCCTTTATACTCCAGTACACACTGAGGACACATTTTTACATTATTCCTTCTCTTTCTTTGTTCATCTTCCCACTAGGTACTTTCATTTATTTTGAAGAAAACAAATGAAATATGTTACATGGACATTCTATTTTAATTATCTACTAAATACCCGTTTTCCCCCTAAGTATGGAGTTTATATTGGTTATATCAAGCATCTGATATCGTACCCGTACTGGATATCAAAACGCTATCCAAGGGCAGAAACCAACCTTTGGATGCATTAGCTTGGGTCTACCTGTATTTTGTTTGTAAAAAGAATTGTCAACTTTAAAAAAGTCAAGAAATTTTATACAAAATTTGTGTTTAAAATTTCTCTTGAACAATCAAGATAGCTGATAATGCTGAACTTCCCCTTCTGACTCAGCAACAGTAGATGGGACCTGAGGAGTGAGTTCTGGTTTTATTTTTATTTTATATTTTTAAAGATTATTTATTTATTTATTTATTTATGCATACAAGAACTTGGTTGTAGGCCAGACTGTGCTGGGGGTGAGAGGATTCACCAGAGACAGTGGGGAGCAGAACAAGCAGATTGACTGAAATACACTGCTGAGGGGAGCAGCGCCATAGGAGAGGTCTGCTATGCCATATGGGTCAGCATCCTGGCTGGGGATCGAACTCGTGCTGCAATGGCTGGTGACTGCTTGAGAGTACTGTGTCTTTAACCCCTGTACCACCAGGGAGGCCCAGGAGTGAGTACTGGCTTTAAAGAGAACATGTCTGTGAAACCCAGGGCTCACCCCACTTCCTCACCTCACCTACTCCATGTCCACAGTGGGCATCTGACTTGGCACTTTCTATTCAAGTCCAAAAGCAGGCGCTCAGAAGATGCTTATTGAACGAACATTACATTGCTAGAGGTAATCCAGTATCTCGAGTGATACAGCATCTCAAAGATTTCCCAGTCCTGTGTTCCCACTAGATGTTAAAGTCTCCACAGTCGGCTTCGGGATTCACTTCAATTCCTTGACAATTACTGAGTTTCATGTGAACTTGAGTGAAATCCAGTTCCCCACTTCACAGGCAGCTCATCTCATCATAGGCAGGCAGAGGGCTCTAATTGTGGGAAAGGTCTGCCTTGTATGGAGTTGAAATCAATTAGAGATCACTCTACATACCAAAGAGCTAAGCAGGAAAGTGCAGGTTTCTACATGTTTGGAGGAGCTAGAGATCAGACTCTTTTGGGAAAGCAAAGGATACTGTATGATTCTTTGAAATTGATTGCACTTAAAATGGGCACGAAGGGAAGACCAAGATCTTGCCAGAAAGGCAGACCATGAGGAGTACTTCCTGGGAAGAAAACAGAAAGAACAAACACACCGGCATGTAAGCACGGGGTGGGTGTGCTGCTAACAGCGTGGGTGGTCCAGATTTGGGGGGCACAGAAGATGGAAGGTGGCCTAGAGGGGGAAAGTTTGGAGAGTTCTGAGGAGGGAGTTCAATATCACCAAGTCTTTTGTTCACCCCCTGCTTATCACTCATTTCCACTTCCAGCATGACTCCTAATGACTCCTCTCCACTGCTCCAGTTTCTAGTTTTGATTGCCTCTCCTCTGAGGTACCAGTGCAGCTTCCTTGGCTCACGCCCCATCATGCACTTTCTTGTTCCCTTATAATGCAATTTTCCCACCAAGGCCAGGACAGTCTTCCTAAAATAACATTCTGATTAGATATTAGGTAATTCTCCTGTCCAACGCATCTGCCTTTTTGTTTGATTTCATTTTAAATTTCCTTTCCTGAGTTTCAGTGATAAAAACCCATACTATCTGCCCAAGACTATTTTCCATGTGTTCCCCCCACATTCCTCACTATGGCTAAAATGGTCTGCTTGTTACTGTACACACACACACACACACACACACACACACACACACACACACACACACACACACACGGTGAAGCTCAGACATATCAATCAGGAGATCTGGTGGTGAAACTTGCCTTCCTCTCTCACTAGCTGTGTGACATTGTAGAAATTCCTGGAGTGAGTCTCAGTTTTCAGGTATTAAAAAAATTGGGTTTACTCTGGCCAATCTGATAGGTTTTTGAGAAGGCTGAGGTCAAGTGGCTTCAATTTTTTGAAGCCATTTCTACCTCAATAACTGAGCATTCCTCCTCTTAACATATGCCTTGTCCAGAACTTCAATCCAACTCTTA